GATTGGACCATAGGAAGGAGACCGGGAATCACATGCCTGAAGACTGGATAAAGTCAACGCAGTGTTGGTCTGGAGGAACACAGCAGGTCAGGCAGCATCAGAGGAACAGGAAAGTCGACGTTTCGGTAGATACCCTTCATTAGGACTTAATCCATCATCTGCAGTTCTTGCTTTCTGCGAAAATCGGATTAAACCACCGGAGGGAGCCCCGGAGCACCAAGCCGTAATACCAAATTTGATCACAGGAGGGAGCCAGGAAACTTCAGCCATACCCGAATCGTTGACTTCTTTCCTCTAGATGCTGTCCGGCTTGCTGAGTCTATCATACTGTAATAGCGGATTTGATGACAGGAGGGAGCCCGGGAACACCACGGTGTAATATCTAATTAAACCACAGGAGGGAACGCCGGAGCGCCAAGCTGTAACAAGAGACAGCAAGGTGCAGGGCTGGATGAACACAGCAGGCCAAGCAGCATCATAGGAGCAGAGAGCCAAGCTGTAACACCGGATTTGATCACAGGAGGGAGCCCGGGAGCACCACGGTGTAATATCTAATTAAACCACAGGAGGGAACGCCGGAGCGCCAAGCTGTAACACCGGATTTGATCACGGGAGGGAGCCCGGGAGCACCAAGCTATAACATGTGATTAAATCACAGGAGAGGAAGAGGGTCTCTGGACCCGAGACGTTAACTCTGATTTTTCCTTCAGAGATGCTGCCAGGCCTGCTGAGCTTTTCCGGCAACTTCTGTTTTTGTTCCTGATTTACAGCATCCGCTCTTCTTTCGGTTTTTACTTAGTATTTAACTCACTTTCACACCTCTTCCAGGCATGCCCACCTTGAAGAAGTTCTGCTCCTCTCGCCAACGGGATTTCTGTTCCAATCTTTCTTCTTGCCCACCGACATTAATTTCACTGACACTCCAGCTGTTTGACCAAGTATTTGCTAAAACTCGTTTCCACAACCATATCACATTCCCCAGTGACTGCCTCAGGCTCAGACTCACCCCACGTGGATTCCAACTGAAGTTACATCCTTCATGTTTTGCATATTCCCAGAATCATAGGTATCTCCGCGATGTTCAACGTTCCATGGACAGCTGCTTTCGCCACATCCTGAGATCCACACTCAGTGCCATGCAGTGTCACATAGACACTCTCCACCTTTCTCTCCAACAGCATCGCAACACACTGGCTCAGGGTTGCACCACTCCACAGTTCCACTTCATCCTCCGGCTCATTCATCATGCTAATAAGAAACTTTTTCTTTTCCTTTCAGGCATCAAGGCCCACAAGATGCAACAACTCAAAGACACCCATGGCCCTTGGGAACCTTCCTCTCCTCCCCTTCCCTCTGACTCCATCCCCTCCCCCAACCCCATCTCCTGTCAGGTATTCATCATCCCTCCTAACCGCCCGCTCTCCAATGTTGAACATTCTGTACTCAGCAAAGGCCTCAGCTTTATTCCTCTCTCTCCCCACCTCAACAAATTTCGAGCACGATATGACGCCAAACTCTTCTTCTGCCATCTTTGCCTCCATGCCCATTTCTTTGGACAAGAGTTCTAAAAAAAAGTTCTGAGGAAGGGTCACCAGACCCAAAACGTTAACTCTGATTTTTAATTCACAGATGCTGCCAGATCTGCTGAGCTTTTCCAGCGACTTCTGTTTTTGTTCCTGATTTACAGCATCCGCAGTTTTTTCGGTTTTAACCACTGGAGAGTGTGCGCTGGACATCAAGCTGTAACACCAGATTTGAGCATAGGAGGGTGTCCAGGAGCACCATGCTGTAATATCTGATTATACCACTCCCTTTAATGTTGAGTGTGACTGTTTCTGTGGGGGGTTGCAGCTACAGCCCAGTTGCAAGGGGAGTAAAGAAAAAGAAAGAACAATAGTGGGGGTTGGACTTTCAGCAGTGAGGGGAACAGACAGGTGTTTCCGTGGCTGCAGACATGCAATTATCTCCTAGGGGCCGGGGGTCATGGATTATTGGCTACAGATACTCTGAAAGGGAGATTGTGGTTCATACATAGGTAGGAAGAGGAATAAGGTTCTGGCAACAAGAATTTAGGGAGCTAGGTAGCAGATTAAAAAGCAGGACCTCAAAGGTCTAGATCTCTAGGTTATTCTCAGTGCCACACAATAATCCCTGTAAATGGCATGGCTGCATGTGTGCACAGCCACGTTGCTGTTCTGCGATCACAATTTTGACTTTCAGTTCCAGAAGTTGCTGCCACACGTGGGTCTCGGAGGCCCATACAGCCTGTAAGAAAATTAGACAGAATGCCTGTAATTACTGCGATAGCAGCAAACTCTTTCAAAAGTATTCAAATGAACCATGAATAAAAACCTGACAAATACCTAAAAATGAAAAAAAACTAAACAAAGAGTGTATATGTGAATAGAAACAAAAGTTAAATGAGGTTTTTTTTCAAGTTTTTAACAATTGGCTTTATATTGTGGATGTCATGTCTGAAAAAGTCACAAGTGAGCATGCACAGTTACCATTGAAGTACAATTGTTGGTGTCCCCAGCCATATCAAACTAAAATGCAAAGGAGGGCATGAGGAAACCCTGATGGGAAAAGTAAAGGAAAATCCAAAGGCATTTTACAAGTGTGCTGGAGGCAAGAGAATACCCGAGAAAAGAGTAGGGCCCGTTAGGGACCAAAGTGGCAAACTGTATAGGAAGCTGGAAGAAGTAGGTGAGGTGTTAAATGAATACTTTGTATCTATATTTGCTATGCGGAAAGAAGATGTAGGTCTAAAAGTCAAGGAGAAGGACTGTGATATACTTAAACAAATTATAATTGGGAGGGAGGAGGTATTAACAATTTACGACGGGTTAACATTGGATAAGTTCCTAGACCTAGAAGAGATATATCACTGGATGCTGTGAGAAGCAAGGATTGGGATTACAGGGACCTGACATTAATTTTCAAATCTCTCTGGGTACAAGAGAGGTTCCAGAGAACTGAAGGACACCTAATACTTTTATTTAAGTAGAATGGTAGAGATAAATCAGGGACCTGTAGGCAGGCCAGTGAGTCCATCATAAGTAGTAGGGAAAACTTTGAAAAAAGAAATTCTAACAGACATAATTAATCTTCACGTAATTAATCAAGCATAGTCAGTCAGTTCTGAAGGAGGGTCCAGAACCGAAACGTTAGCTTTCCTGCTCCTCTGATGCTGCTTGGTCTGCTGTGTTCATCCAGCTCTACACCTTGATGTATCTATAGTCAGTTATGGCTTTGTCAGGGGAGATCGTGTCTGACAATTTTGATTGCGTTTTTCAGGGAAATAAATAGGTGTGTAGATGAGGGTAATGCAGGTGATGTATCTATATGGACCTTAGTGAGGGTTTTGACAAGGTGGTGCATGGGAGACTCGTTAAGATAATAAGAGCCAATGAAATCCAGGGCCAATTGGATATAAAATTAGCTTAGTGTCAGGAGTCAGAGGGCTTTCTTTGTAGTAAAAGGGTGAATCACTTGGGGGCAAAGATTTAAAGGAAGGGGCAGGAGGTTTTGAGGAGATTTAAGAAATATCTTTATCACCGAGATGTGGTGGATATCTGGAACTCATTGCCTGAAAGGATGGGAGAGGCAGAACCATCACCACATTTAAGAAGTATTCAGATGAACTCTATAGCACATAAAGCACAAAGTGCAAGAAAATGAGACTAGAGCAGATAGGAGATTGTGTCCACACCAGTCACCAATGGGCTGAAGGGCCTCATTCCATGCTGTAAAACTTGATGGGCTGAATCGGAGGTTTTCTTCGGCTAAGTTTTGGATGTGTTGTGTTTTTTGGGAGTTTTCTTACCCTACTTTACCAGACTTGCCATATTAACTGTCTACCATGCTGCAACGGGATTTCTTGCATCCAATTTCCACTTCATCTCACCACATACTTGTCACTTGGAAAGTAACTGCTTTAAGACCAGCACCTCTTGTGCCCGAACTGTCTTTGAAAGGCTGCTGTGCACTCAGACCAATATTGGCAATCCATTGCCCCCCATTGTTAACGTAATGGCACAGCAACCACAAAGCCACTCTGCCCATGGCATGTAGCCAGCACGACTAACACTCTCTCAAAGCTACATCCTCGTTCTCTCACTCTAGTCACTGTTTAACCAGCAAACCACATACTTTATGTGTCCATAACAATGTCTTGTTTAAACACCCACTGCATCAGTCTATGTCCAGTTGGACAATACCAAACATGAGCTTTTATTTACAGAAAGCAACAGGGAACACAAACGAAAGCAACAAAGGTTGAAGTTCACCCCCACAATACAAGCCAGATTTCGGTATCATTGGCAAAGATTAATTGACAGTCTACAATTGTCTACATCTTGTGGAACGAGGTGTCGGTCAGGTCCTGTCTGGCTAGCAAGCAATGCAGCATCTTCCTCTCCAATGTCCTCTTTGGAAGCCTGCTCCCATTCTTCCAGCTCCTCAGCATCCAGCACATCAGCCTATCGCCTGCTCCAATTGTGCAGAGCTCAGCATGCTGAATGATGGGGTATACCCCATACAAACTGTACTGGAGCCCCCTCAAATCCATACACCTATTCCACTATGGTCCTGGTCAAAGCATAAGTAACAGTTTGTCTGCACTCTGCATCAGGTATGGAGCTTCTGCAATGGGGTCATGAGTCACAGTTGTAATGCGTATTCATTGTTTCTAAGTAATCAGATTTGTAAGGCATCTGAACCCCCAAACACGAGATGTAGGAGTCAGGGCAGCTGCCAAGGTGACTAGTGCGTACCTCCAGGAAGTGGTAACAGTGATCACATGAACATCAATGGAATGGAGCCCCTTCCTGTTGCTTTGATAAGACTTTCTTAGAGCCATGTGAGTGCAGTCAATTGCACCCTAGACCTGGAGACAGCTGGCTTTGTTTCTGAATCCTACTGCCTGACCTGCAGCACTGACCTCGTCAATAGGGGAGCAAAATGAACTGGTGTGATCTTACAGAGATGGTGTTGCTCATTGTTCTGATGCATTTGGGAGAGATTCTGCACAGATCACCCATTGCTCCCTGGGAGAAGACAGTCACAGAGAAGGTTCAAGGAGTTGTCACCTTAATCGTCACCGGGAGAGAATGGCCTCCCAATCCTACAACCCTCAGGTCCAGCAGCTAGACCAGTCCCATCACAGTGTTCCGAGATATTTGGTGCCTGCTTTGGCACTTTGCCTTCCGCATCCCCAGGAAATGGAGTCAGGTTCAGAAAGCTCTGATCATTCTGTGGAACCCGAGTAGGCCTGAAGGGCACTGCAGCAGCAACCACTCCCTGAACTGGGGGTTTTCCATGGCAGCCTGCTGCTGTTGTACTGTCCATTGTCCCTAACCCTCCTGCATCCATCTTCTTAGGAAGGCAGCTCCAGTCACCAACGTCCCATCAGTATCAGTACCCAGGACTCTCAGTGGGAATGACCTAAAATAGAAACAGGAGTGAAAGAGTTTCTATGCTCTCAGAAAAGTAATTGGTGCCATACCCTGCAGACAACAGCTAAGCTTATTTCTCCACACAGTGAGACAATCTACATCCTGATAATGAGGGACATGTCTACCTCATCCATCCACATTCAGGCTCAGTGTGTACAGCAACTTGGCGAAGGGGCTACACCTGCTGAGGGACCAGCCACTGTCATTGAGAAGGGGGAGCCTGCTGCATTCTGACACTGTTCTTACTCCAGTCACACATCAAACATTCAATACCTCATTGCATCCAATACAGACCATCATTGCATTGGCAAGACAGTTGAAGTGACATTGTTTGGCTCATGCAAGACCCTTGGAAGTTGAATGAATTGCAGTTCCTCTTCAAATAGCAGTGGCTAAAGGTTTTAAATAAAACCTGTCTGACTCCAAACCAAAACATAAACAGATTCTAAACAAGGCCTCACACCTAACATGCATTGTCTGACCTAAAATATCACCTCTTCTTTACACTGATAGAACCTTTAGTTCTCTCAGGACAGTGACTTCAAAGGAATTCAGGCATTTACGTATACATATTAATCAATTAAAACCTTCTAA